GTTTTGATTTCCATTGTTAAAATATGGTCCAAAACTTGTACATCTCGCCGAAGTACCTCCGTATTTTCGAAGAACGGCATTTGTTGTACATGCTGGCGAATTGTTTTGGAGAATAAAGCGATTTGAGTGTGAGAATTTTCGATTCGAAGTGCCGTGCCGTCGGATCGACGATCGGAAATAGTTAGCTTTTATCATGTTTCATGTATACTAGTAACATCGAGTACAAAGTCTCGGAAAATATTAGTCCAACAAAGGAGGAATACAAGGAGAACACACACTATCAAATAGGCAAGTCAATCTCATTTTAAAATTTATATTTTATGACATATTTTTACTATAATATACATTATTATACTATATTATACATTTATACTATAAGTCTATACTGGCCTTGTGAGATTGGGCCGCCTGTGATGTGCCGAGCGCATTTATAGAAACAAGCACGTACACCGCTTACCTCTAGACTTAACATCAAAACAGTCATTGCCTTGATTAATGTTCCCTCGGATAAAAATTCAGGAAATACGCATATGCAAAATGGTGGAAAGACGCTTCTCTAGATTGTCTACCATTTTAGTCGTATTTTTATCTCTATTTTTGCTCGTGGAGTCTTTTAAACCTTGTCGAAGGTTAGTTAAAGGTGCCTCCTGTCTAATGTGTGCACTTAAACTGGATATCAAGCAGTTTCCAACAAGAAATACGCCTGGTCTACCGAGACATTCTCCTTCCACTACTAAAGCCAGCCTGCCACCATCTTGTAAATTGAAAGTTAGTTTACATTTGCTGAAATTATCTATGGTCGCTTCCTCGTTAGTTCTTTTATCTGGTGATGTGAGTTTAAATCCTGGTCCTTATGCAGATGATCTGCCAAAAGCTCGTGGCTTCAAAGTGGCTCACCTGAATGTACGAAGCTTGGTAAACAAACTGGACGACATTAGTCATCTCGTAAGAAGTAAATCGTTCGATATTTTCTCAGTTTCTGAGACTTGGCTCAATCCCACTATATTGGATACTGAAATTGACATTCCTGGCTATACGTTAGTAAGACATGACCGCAATGGCAAACGAGGTGGTGGAACAGCGATTTTTGTTCGAGATGGCATTCCCTATAGACACCTAACGGACTTGTTTGACGGGGTAAACGAAGCTTGCTGGATTGAAATAAACCGTGCTAAATGTAAAAAGTTAATCGTTTGTTGTGTGTATAGACCGCCAGATTATTGCTGTGACTCCTTGATTGACTATTTTAACACATCTCTTTCAAAATTGCCTGTTGAAACTGAAGTTATAATTCTGGGAGATTTTAATGCCGATTTCTCAGCCGAGAAGAATACTGCCGCGTATAAAGCGAAGCAGAAGTTACAAAGATTTGCAAACCTGAATGATTTTGAACAATTGATCAAAACTCCCACTAGAATTTGTAACCAGACGAGAACTCTGATTGATTTAGTTTTTGTCAATAATAGTCATCGTGTTGTTGAAAGCGGAGTCATTCACTCGGCAATTAGCGACCACTCTATTGTTTATTGCACTATAAAATCTGGTGTTCCCAAAGCTCCTCCAAAAACAATTGAATATCGCTCTTACCGCACATTTGACAAGAACTCTTTTATTCAAGATCTTAAGTCAATTGACTGGGATATAATAGACGAAACTCAAGATCTAGATGCTGCTGTCGAAACATGGAATGCACTCTTTTCTGATGTTGCTGATAAACATGCACCTATTAAAAGGAGCCGCATCAAAGGAACCAAAACACCCTGGTTGACGGCTAAACTTAAAGACGCGATGCGAGATCGTGATTACCATCATAGAAAGGCTATTAAAAGTAACTCTGAATTTCACTGGAACATGTACAAAAAATTAAAATGCCGTGTTACCAAACAAGTTAAGAAGAGTAAAGCCGATTATTATCTCGAATTAATTAACAGAAACAAAAGCAATTCTAGTGGACTATGGAAAATACTCAATGAAATTACAACACGTAAATCCACATCGCCAGTCACTTGTATTGAAGCGGACGGCGTAACCTACACGGACTCACAATCCATTGCTGAAGTCCTGAATGATTATTTTTCTTCTATTGGATCGAAACTCGCTGCTAAGATAACTCCTGGTCTAAATTACATCTGGAAAAACCCTTCTTTGACTGTTGATGCTAATCCTGTTAGTGGTTTCAACTTCCAACCTGTAGAAGAAGCGTTTGTCCGTACAGAATTAAATCGGCTAAAGACCAACAAAGCCATAGGACTTGACAAGATTAGCGCGCGTCTTCTAAAGGACTCTGCCTCATTAATAGCACCAGTTTTAACAAAGTTGTTCAATAGGTCATTGGAGTCGTCGAAATTCCCGTCGATCTGGAAATTTGGTAAAGTCACTGCTCTATTTAAATCTGGAGACAGATGCGATTCTGGAAATTATAGACCGATCACTATTTTACCCACGGTCAGCAAAGTCTTAGAGAAGGTTGTACATCACCAAGTTTACAAATACCTTGTGGATGAAAAGATTCTATCGCCAGTGCAATTTGGTTTTAGACCAAATCTATCAACCGAAGTCGCTTTGATACATTTTACTGACTCGATTCTTGATAATATGGACAAAGGCGCTGTCACTGGAGCAGTCTTTTTGGACCTATCAAAGGCCTTTGACACGGTGAACCATTCTATACTATTTTCAAAATTATCGAAGGCTGGATTTACTGATGCCACTATAACATGGTTCAAATCATACCTATATCAGAGAATACAAGTAACAAGAGTGGATAATGCTACCTCTTCTGCAAAGTATGTCTCAGTTGGAGTTCCACAAGGGAGTGTCCTTGGACCACTCCTATTTATCCTTTACGTGAACGACTTGCCGTCTTGTATTAAGAAGTGTAAAGTGACTATGTATGCAGATGACACGGTTCTTTATTTCTCTTCCTCTACGTTGTCGGGACTTGAGGAAAATTTGAATGCTGACCTTGAAATCCTTCGCAGATATTTAAATGACAATCTTTTAACTTTGAACGCTGAGAAAAGCAAATTTGTAATCTTCGGCAGCACGCGTAAACTCAATTCATTCCGTGAGTTTTCATTAGAGATCAACGCACATAACTTGGAACGTAGAGACACCTTCAAATACCTTGGCATTAAACTTAATCAAAATATGTCTTGGTCGGACCAGATTGATGCCCTTAGCAAAAAAGTCAGCCAACGACTTGGAGTTCTGCGTCGTGTTAAGTATTTGCTGCCTCCACATGGTCGTTTGGCGATATATAACAGTCTTATTTTACCGTTATTTGATTATGCAGATATTGTATGGGGGGACAAGAACAATAAAGTCCTAATGCATAATCTCCAGGTTTTGCAAAATAACGCAGCAAGAACTATACTGGATTATCCCAAATACTTTTCCGGTACCGAAGCCCTCGCACAGCTAAACTGGATGCCTCTATCAGAACGTCGACGCCAACATCGTTGTATTGGTATTTATAAATGTATAAATAAGTATATAAAATATCAATTCAACCTAGTTCAAAACGTTGAAATTCACTCCCACAACACACGCCGCCGTCAGGATTTACATCTTCCACGCTCGCGTACTAACTGGGGAAAACAACGCTATATATATCAAGCAGTCGTTGATTGGAATAACCTTAATTTAGACCAAAGACAATCGAACAATTTGACTTCTTTTAAGAACTCTATATAAGAACTCTATATTAATTTAGACCAAAGACAATTGAACAATTTGACTTCTTTTAAGAACTCTATATACGATTTTAGCTGATATAATTTTAAACATACTTTTTATATATGCTATTATAATGTAGTTTTATTTGTATTTTAATTGATATCGTAGGACCTGCCTGAAAATCACCTTTTTGTGAGTGTAGCTTCCTACTGAAATATTGTAATAATAATAATAATAATAATAATAATTTGTAGATTGCCGTTCAGCGTTAGGTTGTGTATTTTTTTAAAAGTATATGAAAGAAACACATGTGCATCTTCCTGTCACTGCTTCCTGTGCGCCCGGCAAGCATAATTAATTTACCCCCCTGAATTGCCGAGATTCAAGCTGGTCTACTAAACTCGGCGCGCGTAGACTGGTACCGTCGAGAATAGTGTGCTGCCCATTGAACTATAAATAACTGGAAGGCTAACTCAGGGGGGGAAATTGAAGCCAGTGTATTTTAGTTTTTCTGAGTTATGAGCAGACATACTCAACACTGAACGTTGGGCTATATATCAAATTGAAGCTATTGAAAAACGCTATTTGGTGTAGAAATTTCAAGACTTTAGCTAAAAGGGAAATATTGAAAAATTACAAACATAATTATCGAAAATTTGCCGTTTTGCAGTTGTTTTTGTATTTTTTAAATATTTTTCTTTTCGCTGAAGTCTTGAAATTTCCACACCGAATAGCAATTTTCAATAGCTTCAATTTGATATATAGCCCAACGTTTGGGGTCAAGTATTTCTGCTCATAACTCAGAAAAACTATTTTGGCTTTATCAAATCATAGGCCTTCATCATAGCAGTTAGCCTTCCAGTTTATTTATAGTTCAATGGTGCTGCCTCGCTGAGGCTCGGCAGCAAATACAACAATCTTGCAACCCTATCAATAATAAAGTGAACTGAATTAGCCGCCATTATGCTATTTAAGCTATTGAAATAATGAATGAATTCAGGATAATCTATCGGCCATTACAGTATAAATTAAATTAAAGCTTGAAGCTTCTTCATGTAAAGCGCCATATAGACTTTATAGCATATAAAGCATAAATGCACCAGTTTGCAAATAAACATGCACTGAGTCATGGAAGTGGGATTAATTACAATATAATAGTTGCCAACCCAATGTTAGCATAACTCTTGATAACTGAACCATTGCGAGTTTGAATTCCCAATCTAATAGACACTTCCCGAATTTGCTTGAGTGCACACGAAACAATAGCTTGGAATCGAGGCGGACAATGTAATCCATTGGAAAACTATACTTATTTCCAATGGATTACATTGTCCGCCTCGATTCCAAGCTATTGTTTCGTGTGCACTCAAGCAAATTCGGGAAGTGTCTATTTTCGCCCAAATCTCAGTTACTAGGATTTAGGACCAGGCCAGTTTTGCATTTTTGCATAAACTCGACAGGGAATGGTTTTAGACACCATTGTATTACTACCGAAGTTATGAACTTATCTCCTACAGACAGTATCTACTTACATTCTCGACGATATGCAATATAAAGACGCTGAAACTTTTAGCAGTTTCAGGATATCAAATATACGTCCCAAGCAGCAGAATCGATACCCGGTTGTGTCAATGTGCGAGATATATTGATTTTTTGTATAGTGATTCCCGCATATAATTTATTATGTGACTGCGTTTTGCGAATTGACTTATTTATGCGAAAACTCGCTTTGCAATGCATATATAAGCCACTAAGGAAAGCGAAACAATGTTCTCACTCGTGAGAATAATGGGTTTCGTCAATCAAAGTCTACTAAATTCACTTACACAGGAAATATTCCTACCTTTTGGTTTCACTATGTTTATTTCGATCGCAGCTCAGCACAAACTTTATTTTATCGCTTTATTTCGCTTTTTAGTCGTGTTACAAAAACTTGCATATCTTCTATACGCACGTTAATTTCATACAGTATACGTTTACTTAAAGTTATTTAATAAAATTCTCCTACCGTGCATATACGACTTTTATGAATAATGAAATTAAATTGTTCAAGATAAATACATGTTCTATATATTTTCCGGCTGCGAGGTCCGATGAGGAACTTACGGCTCAGTCTTGAAAACGGCCCGATGCCAACAAAATTAAAAGTAGTTAGTTAAGCTTCACTACGATATTTTAGAAATAAATAGAGATATAATACGGATTTTCATTGCCTTTAACAAAGTTTAGCGGAGAAAAGGTCGCTATCCAGTTTCAGATCAGTGATTTACACGGCAAAAATAACCATTACATACACTTTCATGTAATTGCTATACTTATATTCATAATACCTGAAAGATCGACGAGAAAACGTATGGCTTACGTTTTTGGCATCTACTGATACAGTACACCTTATTAGTTAAGTTGTCAAATATTGGGCCTAGGCGTCTGCCGTCTGATGAAGACTAGCACGTCAGTTTCAATGGAGAAAATGAAAACAAATTAACACGTGCGAAAACACCATATGTCATTAATTCACATCAATAAGGAAATAGCACTATATCCGCATTGCTGCAACTCAATGCTGGGAATATACAGATATAAGCATCAGATACGGCCAAGCTCAAGATCGGTTGCAAAATAAGCTACAGAATCTGTTTATTACAGCTACAAAAAGCCTTGTGGGAGCCTCAAACTTATTATTCACGGCTACACAAGTGAGTCTGATGTGGGAAAATTCAGATGAAAACAATGATGAATCAGACGATGTTATCACAGAAGAGAGTGATTCGGATGATGGGCAAATGGGGCAACTGTGTGTATATGTAATCAGACGCGGTTCCACTAAAACGATTTTAAACCATTTCACCCCGTTTGCAATGTGGGAGTCATGCGTTATTCTTAAGAAATAGAAAACATTTTCCGTGTTTCTATAGAGTTATAGAAACACGCGTGAAAGTTTGAGAGAAACGAGAAATTGCGTGGGAACACGAGCACGAAGTGCGAGTGTTTCCACGCAATTTCGAGTTTCTCCCATGCCAAACTTTCATAAGTATTTCTATAAACTCTATAGGAACACGGAAAAAATGTTTTCTATTTCCTTTATTAAATAGCCTTTTAAAAACAATAGAAAAGATAAATTTATTGATTTTAATTGCTTTCATTCAAATATTAATTCTACCTTAATATACGTTCGTGTAAAGAATAATTATAAAAGCATAGCGATGTATAAAACAAGTATCTCGCTGACAAAACAACAGACAGCACTTAACAGGCTTACTTTACTAAGGTATATAATTCATTCAACAACGTACATGCTTGCATGCAAAGAAAGCATTGTTTTAAATAGTGAACGTTTAAAGATGATTAAAAACGATAGTAAACATGGAAATATTTTTTTAAAAAGACAAAGTAAAATTAAAATATCTTACCTCGGTAAACAGTCAAACAGATACAACGTGTGCTATTATATATACTTTGTGCTTTAGGCCTTCGCTTTCTAAGTTAGCAAAGTGTTGCCTTTTTTTGTAACGGTTCTTCGGCGTTTTCGGACGTTTTTCAACTTTTTTTTTAATATTAAATATTGTTTGTGTTTAAGTGTTTTGTCTTTTAAACTCACGCACAATCCACGCAACCCGCGTGAAAATTCCCCAGGTGACTATTGATTTTTCTGCATTCTGATTGGTCAAGATTCACTGTCTCTGAAGTGAAAGTCACTGGTCAGTGACTATAGCTTTTTTTTTCAAAATGTCTGCTCGTTTTGACGTAGTAACAGAGGAGAAAATTGCCAAAATTAAAGAAGATAGCATTCCAAAAAAACCCAAACAAGCTACAAAATATGGTTTAAAAATATTTCAAGGTAAAATATTAAACTTTACGTGCTTTTATTTGGAAAAAAATTGGCTTAGTCGCAACGCGACACAGAGCCGTGTCTGAGATTTAAATTTTGTAAACAAACTATTTATAGTGAAAATAAATTTATTTGAAGTGAATTTTTATAAAGTTGTGTGGATTATTGTTTGTAAACACCTGGAAATTTATACTAAAACAATTAGTCGCCTCAGGCTCGGTGATTACAAGCCTATATTCACTTCGCCTTCGGCTCAGTGAATATAGGCTTCCAATCACCTCGCCTTCGGCGACTAATTGTTAAATAGAAACACGGGTTTTTTGAGCTTTTGACCAATCAGCGCCTGTGTTTTTAAAAGGCTATTTTATAACCACATTTGTCACACGTGCCGTGAGTCATACTCGTCAGGCTCGGCCAATCATGGCGCGGTGGTATCCCTTTGTTTCCCTTTTTTTTTGGGGGGGGGGGGGTCATCTACTGATATTGATTAATGACGAACATAACATTCAAATCGAGCTGGTGAGTTTAAAATATCATACAAAAATTAATATGATTATTATTTCATTATCTATTCAATTCAAGTACACAGATATGTATTGCAGTTCAATATCTACTTAACTAGGTAAGTTTACAACCTCGTTCCCAGCCTCTTCCCTCCTGAGGAGGAAAGACCCTGGTAGGATCTGGTCACGTGGCTCACAGAAAATTGATTACCTGATCATGAGGGGGTGAGAGAAAAGTATGTGATTACATGCTTCCACTTCCGCTCTTTACACTTCGATCGCAAGGAGTGAGTGTTCTGTACAGCCAACTTTGAAAATCACATATACGTCAAAATATTTGCTAAATTTGATTTCTGTTTGCTCTAGTATACCTATCAGTAGTAAATGCTGAGTAGCTCCTTAATCAATTTGACGATATATCAAAAACGGCTTCATCTTTCTATACTGTATTAACAACCCCAGTTTAAATACAATCGTAAGCTCAGAACCCATCGTAACTGTAAGCTCAACACTAACTTAATCATTGTGTCGTCTTTATTGTAAATATTATGACTAAATCCTTGCTTCTGTTACAAATATATTTCTTTGATCTTGACCGTAATCACCATGCAGCCATCCCTAACCCTGGCTTTATTGAGCGCGAAACGTGAGAAACTATAACCATAAACTATTTCCGGCTTAATCTT